AACGGATCAAACATACAATTGAATATTGAAATAAAACTTTCTTCTTATCGGTAGCAACAGACCTCCTGGCGAGATTTCTCTCTCTCTCTCTCTCTCTCTCTCTCTCTCTTTGCACCTATTGATTTTCATATATATATATACATATAGTCTATTGTTCTTCGAACTAACCATAGCAGGGTGCCACGTCTATACAGTCGGCCGTTCAATTACTGAACATTGACATATACAACAAGAACAAAAAAAAACGAAGAAGAAGACTACATAGAGTCTGATGTCATCCTTGACGAAATTGTATATATATCTTATTATCCTATGTAATCAATTTTTCAATTGTCTACTTATATATATATGTCATCTATTTTCGGAAGAAAAAGAACATACAAGTGGAATGCCATCATTTTTATCGATTTGCTAGAAGGAAGATGATCATCATCATTTTCCACTGCAGGATGCGCTAATTGTTCAATTTGTCTGTCTAGATATATATACGTGTGTGTGAGAAAAGCTCTTCACAAACACTAGGTGGTGACAAAACTCAAATTAGAACCTCATTTACGCTGAAAAAAAGAACTTTTCTTTATTTAGAATAATCAATCAATGCAATGCTTGACAGATGCCTTCTTACCTGTTGAAAGGAAGAAAAAAAAAAGAAAACATACTTTTCACACCTACTTCTGCAAAGATGAAAGACCCCATATGTATCGCACATTAAATAAGTTTTCCTTTTTTTTTTTATTGAAATGAAATGTACAAATAGGAGATGATATTATTGAGATTTTTGTTTTTTAAATAAATACAGACAAACAACAAAAACAAGGAAGTATGAGATATAGGCACGAATATAGACAGATAAAGATGACCATTCAATCATTGACTATGGACATCTGACCAAAAATCATATGAGATTTGGATGTATATATATATATATATATATTGCGTTTAATTCTTTCCACGACGATTGAAAGCAATAACCGCTAAAAAAAAAATGAAATGTTAAATTATAAAAATTCATACATTCAATTAACTTACTAATGATAATCAAAAGAACACCAATAACAATGCCAGCAATGCAAACATTTGTCTAAATTTGAAATATTTAAAATAAAAACTAATATGAATAAAATCAATATTCTTTACTTTAGCATTTTTCCACCAATATTTTCGTCGTAATTGTTTTGTTGTTTGATTATATGTTGTAGCTGATGTTTCAAGATCTTCAGCACGTGTCATTAAATTATTTAATGCAACATCACGATCTAATAATTTGTCGATATTTTTTTTCATAACACCAACAACTTCTTGTACTTGACCATGAAGTCTAAGAAAATAATAAATATATAAATTATAATCATAAGAAAATTTTAAAGATATATTTACTTTTTAACACCACCACTTGCTGTCGAACGTGTAGTATCCCTAAATAAAAATTTTAGAAAAAAAAATGTAGAAAACTTATGAATACAAAAGGCTAACTTACGAATCTATTTGAATATCAAGTGCATCATCATCATCGTCTCGAATTGATGACTAAAATGAGAAAAAAAAACAAATAAGCATTGACAGCAAAATCGTTTGTTAGTTTTTTTTTAAATGAATCTTTTAGTTTCAAGATCGGATTGATCTTGTCACAATTTAACAAGTGGCATAAAATGTTTTCCTCTTTTTTTAGGACACTTCTCAACACATTCGATAATTCAATCGCCAAACTGAAAATTCTGATTTTCTACAAGCATCTATCGATTCACGTAAGCCTTTACTATTAGGGCTGACGCTATATGCAAAGTATATGGGGCATTAATTGATAGAGAATTTCGTGCTCTTTGCTTATATGATCTTTTCAAGATTTCTACAGCTGTTTTTCAGAAAAGGTCACGTTTGTTCTCATACCGTCGGATGTAGAATTTAATTCGGAACAAAATGTTTTGATTGTTAAATTGAAAAGTAGAAACATTAGAAAAAGAACAATGATATAATTCTATCAGAACAAAGTTTTTTTTTTACAGTTTTTACTTGAAAAGTTTGTCTCGAATATATTTCTTTTAATACTCTGAAACATACATAAAAAGATATAGAATTTTGTGAAGAACTTTATAGCATATTTGAAACTTCAGAAAAAAGTTTATGAAAAAAATTTTCGTTTTTTTTTGACTTGAGTAAATGTTCATCTTTTAAATTTTGCATCGACAACAATAAAACTCATTTGAAAAACAAAGATAATCATTTTATAGAGCAGAAAATTCTCTATCGAATATATTGGAAAGTATTAAAAACATTTTGTCTCGTTTGTTATATGCCACTTATTACAATTATATAATAGAAATCATTTTTGAATTATTTTCCCTAACAGAAAAAAACTGGACTTAATATTTTTGAATTTGAAGATAATTTTAATTATAAAATAAAATACTTACATAAGTTTGAGGACGTGTATAACCTGCTGTAGCCATTTGTTTTAATGTGAGAATTCAAAAAAGAAGCAAGAAATTATAATTCGTTTATATTTTTCTATAAAAGAAAAATCATTATCTAAAAAACAAACTGATTTCATAAAGAAATGCAAATTTATGTTTTATGAAAAGAAAAAAAAAACAACAACAACACATCACAATATCTTGAATATGAAATTTTGTAATGGCTACTTTTTTCTTTTAGTTTCTTTTTTGTTAATGAACTATAAATCTGGCATTTCTGAACCACCACCACCACCACCACCAACATTCATTTTTTCACGTGATTCAGTCCAAGCCTTAGCAATTGTTCGTTTCATCTCATCATCGCCTGTTTCATACATATTTTTCATAAGTTGCATTAATGAATCACCTGGATCTTTACTATCATCCATCTTTGGTACTGGTCTATATATATATTATTACAAATAATGAAATTTTCTTAATAGTAGAAACTTACTTTTCAGGAGCTTTCTTTTCATCACGAAATATGCATTCCCAATTTTGAGAATCAGCTTTAGCTAATGATAAAATGACCATATCTTTTTTAACCTAGTTAAAAAAGAAAATTTTCTAGCATTTCTTCAAAGATAATCGATTGCCAAAGAAACGATCTGTTCTATTTATTTCTGCTTTTCATTATAGAATTTTTTTCTTTTTCTACTGTCACTCTATTCATTGTTTTTTTATTTTCATATTCCATTTTCTCGTAGTTTATTATTCTAACTATTGATTTAACTGGCAAATAAATCTGTTGTACGCATCTATTATATCTACAGTTAAGTTTCAATGCACAATTATGCATCTCGATAAGCTCAGAAACATTGATATTGATTATTCCTCAAAGTTATAACCTGATCAGTTCATTCTTTTTTATGCTGATCATATGACGGCTGTGTCAAATCAATACATCAATACTTAACGTCTTGAATATAAATTTTCTATTTGGGTAAAAACCAAAAAGTGTACTATTCAGAATAGTTTAAGTTATGTTATTAATACTATTTAACACGTCTTTTTTTCGTTGCTAAGAGACATTGAGAAAGGAGTCTGACACTTGGCTGCTATGAGAGGAAAATGCAAAATCTCGACTGAAAACTTATACTCACTATAGTTTTCTTTGGAAAAACATAATGGGGATTCTATAAAATAAGATAAATTTTGATTTACCTTATATGATGATTGTCCAGGTTTGATGTCATGTAAAAGACGACCTCGTTTAAATAAATAATTAACATTTTTTAAATTAATTATTTCAAGTGTAAAGCCTCTGAAATAAGAAAAATTAAAATCTATTTAATCAATAATAATAATATTCTCTATTTACCGATCTTCAAATGAACAACGAACTTGTTCTGCAGGTAAATCACCAACACCATCTAAATTTTGAACATATATTTTCACGAATTTATCTGATTGATCCCAAGCTAGAAAATAAATCCTTTTTTTTTAATATATATATATATTTCATTTATTTTTTCTTTTACCATAAAGTGATATTTCTTTTGTATAAGAACGACTTGTTGATGATGGTACAGTTACACTTGGTTTTTTTTCTACTGCTGATGCAGCGTTTTGTTCTTGTTTTTCTTTGAGTGTTATTAAATCAGTTTCTAATCGACGTTGTTGAATTTCAAGAAATTGTTTTACTCGTGCACGATTAGATTGATTAAGTAGTTTTTTAATTTCATCAATATCCGCATTAAGCTAAAAATAAATATTCAATAGAATTTATGATTTAAACTTCCAAAAAACAAATTTTAACGGATGGATTGAAAGTTTTTTATTTTTGCCTTCGTTGAATGTATTTCCGAAGAGTCAAAAGTTATGGATTTCGAACCAGCATATTGCACACTTTGTGAATATGATCTTAAAAATTTATTGTCTTTCTTTTTGTTTGAAAATAGTGGAGAAGTTTTTAAAAGCCCAAAAAATTAGATTGCATGATGAATCAATAGGCGTTTGCTAACTTTCATAAGTTCATTTTCGAAGATACCAAAAATTATCGGAATAAATCGTTCTGTCGAGCGGTTTCTTCTTTATAAAACTTTATATTGAACTGAACTGTGGTTTTTGCAGAAATAGACGAAATAAATTTCCAATAGTACATTTTGTAGGCTAGCTTTTGGTCTACAAGGTAAAGATTTCAATATTTACTTTCGAGTCGCAATAGTACAAATACAAAAATTCTCCGTTCAAACTCTATTTTTGAGCTTTTCAAAGATCATCGTATTAGTTTCAAGAAAAATTTGAGAGAAAATTTCTAAGCAGACATTCAGAAAGAATACAAAATCCTGATCATAATCCATAGTTTTTGCCTCATCGAAAATACTTTTAAGATATTCCAGAATATCTTGAAAATATTTTCAATATTTTCAGTCCATTCGTTATTTTCGAATTTGAATAATCAAGAATATAATTGAAATTTTTACTTCTTGAATTTGTTGTTCAATATTGGCCATTCTCTCGATGATTATTATTTATCTAAAAGAAAATGAATTTTTTATGATTAATAAAAATTAAAAATAAAAATAGTTTTTTTTTTTTATTATTTCATAATAAATTATTTGCAACTGCTTCTTTAATCACGGAAATAACACGTCTATTAAGTGGATTTAACTTTCCATTACTATCTTTTGCCATGGAATTTTTATCAATATTTAATAAAGATTTTTTGCTTTTAAATTGTTTTAAAGGAAAAAATGCTATGGAACTTGTTTCATGATAATCATCATCAATTGGTAATTCTTCGAATTTATAATTTTCAAATTGTTCACATATATTCGAATTACATTGAGTTTTAAATATATAACAACGAAATATATCATCATAAAAATTCAAATCAACAAATGGACATGTTTTTAGATGATCAATATCACATGATAAAAGTGTTCGAGTTTCTTCATATAATTCTTCTATAGCAGTCTTTTCAATACGTTGAAGATCATCACAATCATATTTGATAAAACCACCACAACAATTATAATTTTCTGTATAATCATGAACAAGTAATAGAGATGAACGTGCTGTATCGACAATAAGTACACCAGATCCTAAATATTTCTTTAAGTCAAAAGAAGCCATCTTAAATGTATATGTACAATTGTATGTGATTTTAAAGGAATTTATTTCATAAAATTAAATTCGTATGACAATGACAGATCTATAGAAAAAAAAAATACAACAATATGTTTGTTTCTTTGCTTAAGCCTCTTCCTTTCCCTTCCCCGAACTCAACAAGAAGCACCTGCAAGAAAGTTTAGAGTAATAATTCGTCTAGTTTATTGTGTTTTTTTTGTAGGTGTGATCGATCTTGCCTTATTTACTCACGGAGATCCACTCGAAAACTATGCCAGACAAAATATCTTGAAGACATTCAATGATATATATTCATCTGATTTAGAGTCCTCGTTGTTTTTAGAACACATTTTTTTTTTATGGATAACTATCATAAACTGACTTATGACTGTGTGAGTCAGTTCTTTTTTGTATGAAACAAATCAAGAGATTAAAGACCAAACATTATTCATTATTTCTAGCCTGACTAGAATTCGTTAGTTAACTCCCGTAGAGTTATATCTTCTCCTGCATAGGACTATTCTTTCAGAACCAGTCAATTCCACTAGAGTAGAATAGACATAAGGTCTTGTGATCCTTATTCGTAATCCTTCCTATTCTGTAAGACTGGTTTCGTTCACTATATTTCTTCGTTACTTCTCCTTTTCTTTCATTCCTAAATTTTGATTGATCATTATGTACCCTATGAGTACTTGTAGGTGTTACAATAAAATGGAGCATAAATCAAAAAGAAAAAGTACAACAATCTATTATTGATGTTTAAAAAAAATTCAATTATATTAAAATACAATTTCAAAGGTACACATTTACTAAACATTGACTAGAAAACATATTGACTGCAATCAATAAAAAGAAAAAGTAATGAGTTTTCAAATTTCACGTAGATAATATCGATAAAACAAACAGTCGTCAGCATATTCCGATATACTATACATTGAAGTACTATGTGCTAGAGATCGAACCGATACCGATAGATCGATCGTTTCAGTCCACTCTGATCGGTTCTATCTCTGTCGTAGACCTAATTTTTCAATCGATTTTACATAGACTAAATAATATCTAAGATATGAAAACATAATTTCAACATTATAGATTCTTTCAAAAACTCATAAAAATCAAAAAGATCACGTTTGTTCTATACTAGAGTTTAATACTATACTTGATAATAATAATAATAATAATCTTATGTTAAAATATTTTCTGATTAATTTAAATATTAATATTTAATCTAAAACAAAAATTAGAAGAATGATTAGATTTTTTTCTTTAATACAGAAAAGAAATCTTTTATCAACATAAAGTTAATTATATTAAATTCTCATGAGTAAAACACAAGAGTAATTCAAAACTAAATAGATACAAAAGAAAAACCAGAAAAACTTATTTAAGTCCTTTTAATAAATATCCGAATCATATGGAATTAACGCATTAAGTCGATATGGATCACAATAACATCGAATTAATAATGTTGTTGGACTTGCATCAGCACTAAATATATATATATATATAATAAAAAATTTCTTCTTTTCTTTTAATTATCAAAAAAAACAAACATACTTGCATATACCATTACAATGTTTTGGAACTGAAATAGCTTCTGATTTATTTGTTGTGTCATCTGTTTTTTGTTTATTATTTTCTTCTAAATTAAAATTTTCACATACCATCATATCATCAGTATCATCTAATTCAATAATTGATGATGATAATCGTTCAGTTTCTATAGATTTAATTTTTTTTGTAATAGTATTTGTTTCTACCTAAATATAGAAATTGAAATAGTTTTTTCATGTTTATTAAAATTTGTTTATCACCATCGTTCATAATTTTTCAATTTTTATGTTATGAACGACAAAATCTCTTAGCAAATTTCAAATTTTGTATAGTAATTTCACGCATGATATAAATGAATTTTGATTAACATTCATTTGACTATGCAATAGATGCAAAAACAAAATTAGATTATTAACCTGTCGCATATATATTCAGATGAATTGTTAAATGAGAATATCCGAAGAAAGAGATGTTCGACTATAATTTCGAAAAACTTAAAAATTCAAAGAAAAACTTATACCTGATTGGCAATCGATAGAATTCGTGCAGAAGGAGGATATACCTCATCATCTGAAATAAATTTTCGTTTGTTGCTATGTAAATTTTCAACTGTTGTATTTATTGTTGTCGTCATTATCTATTGTCTTTCAAACTCTATCTGGAAAAACAAAACAAAAAAGAATACATTTTCTCCATTGTTACTTTTGCATGATAATGATCAGAATAGTTTCATCATTGAAATTGAATAGTTCATATTAAATAAATTGTTACAAAATATTTATCTACAAATAACAAAAACAAGAATGTTGTTGTTGTTGTTTTTATTTTAAGTTTTTTTTCGTGCTATTTCTTTTTTTAAAACTGTAACAGCATTTAATGAATTAGCTAAAGGATTATTATGTTTCATTCGTTTAAAATTTTTATTTATTGTATCAGATTTTCTTTTATTATGATTATTTGTTGATGTTGTTTGTTCAGAATTAGTTGATGAAATTTTTTTTAATGAATTTGGAATTAAATAATCAGGTACATGTTTTAAATGTTCTTTTACTTTAACAATATGTAATGCTGAATCATGTCGAAGTAATTGTAATTCTTTTTTATTATCATTAAAATATGTTTTTAATTTTTTTGAATTAAATATTTCTGATTTAATTTCTTTTAAACGTGCTTCACGTATTGATACACGTGTTATAGCACGTAATGCATCTAATACACGATAACGAAAACCATCAACTTGTTCGGATTTAAAACGATATAAATGAAACATATCTTCACCATATTCATTTTCAAGTTCACCACGTACTATTTCAAAATATGGCATTTCTTTTTGTGATATTAATGAAAGAGCTAAACCTTAAATTAACAAAAAAAAAATATATATATTAAATTTTCAATTTTACAAAATCAATTCATACTCAAAATTAACATTAAATCAATTTTTTAAAAAATTTTTCACATCTTTCTATTATTTGATCTTTGATTTTTTCCCCGTCTATAGAAAATTCTCACAATCACTTGTCTTTGACTCACCTTTTTGATCTACACGAGCAGTTCGTCCAACTCGATGAACATATGAATCAAAATCCATCGGAAAATCAAAATTGATAATATTAGCTACTCGATAAAAATCAATACCACGTGATACACCATATTCTTTATCTCCTTTTCGATTTACATTTTCCGTTTTCTTCTTTTTCTCTAGAAAAAAAAATTCTTTTTTCTCTCTCCAAAAAATAAAACCAAGCATATTCATTAAAAATCATCATACTCTTTTTTGACTCCTCTTCTGGTTCTGTTTGTTCTTCTTCTTCTTCTACTGGTGGTACAACATTTGGTGCATCTGTTGCAATCATTATATCATATAATCCATCATTCTAAAAAAGAAAAATTTAAATAAATAAAAAATTTTCATATACTTACATATTGTTGAACAATATGTAAACGTGAATCCATAGGTAATTCACTATTTAATAAACAAGTTTTTATATGAAATTGTTCCATTAATAATTTTAATCTATATGCTTGTTCAACAGAATTAACAAATAATATTGTTCGACCAATTAATAATTGTAATTTTAATATAGTTATAATTAATATAAATTTTTGATCGTGTTCACAATAAATATAATATTGTAATAATTGTTTATTATCAGGTAATATTGTTGAATAATCATCATTTTGATTAATTTTAACTGGATTATGAAGAAATAATTGTTTTAATTGTAAAACATCATCATTAAGTGTTGCTGATATTAAAAAACATTGATAAGATTTTGATTTTGATGGTAAATATTTAGAAATTTTTTTCATATCATTTGCATAACCAAGTGAATAAAGTATATCAGCTTCATCAAGTATAAATAATTCTAATGTATTTAAATTTAATAATGATGTATGATCTTTTAAATGTTCAAGTAATTTTGTTGGTGTTGATATAATTATTTCAGGTAAAGAATTATTATTTAATAATAATGATTGTTTTTGTATTTGTGTTGATAATGAATTTGATAAATCATATAAATTTATTTCACGACGACAATAATTTGTTAATTTAAATAAAACTGTTGATATTTGATGACATAATTCTTTTGTTGGTGATAATATTAATATACGAACGTTATGATTTTTTGTTTGTTGTTTTGTTAATAAATGTTGAATAGCTGCTATTGCATAAACACCGGTTTTACCACTACCAGTACGTGCTTTTATAAGAAGATCTTTACCCGATAATGCATATGGAATTGTTTCAGCTTGTATTGGTGTTGGTGATGCCCATTGTAAATCGGCTATTGATTTTAATATACGATTATCAAGACCGAAATCATAAAATGAACGTGTTACAGTTTCTCCTTCTTCTTCTTGATCACCTTCGTCAATTATATCGGGTTCTGCAAAGCGAACAGACATCTGAAAATTTTAAGTGAATGAATTTTGTCTAATGAAAAAAAGAAACAAAAATCAAATGATATATTATTGTAAAATTTTTAAACGATATTCAAATTATATTTTCCAACATATCATTGAATTGACTTGAGGAAGTAGAAGAAAAAGAATAAATAAATAAATGAATATATATATATATATATGCGAAAGTGAATTTATCATCAACCAATCAATCATAAAATTGTACGGATCATTATTGGATTGAAATTATCCGATAAAAATTTCGGTTTTGATTTGATTTTATTTTTAGATTTCTATTGATTATGTTTTCGTTTTTTTCTCAGTTTATTATAATTATAACATTTTAAACAATTTTTTTTTTTGTCTCAATATCATCAGACAATAGCGTCATCTTCAGATTACGTTGCAAACTAGAAAAATTTCATGTTTTGACAAATAGGTTTTATAATAGCAGGTATTCAAAGCAGAGATAAAAATGCACAGAACACCTGCTGTTGCACATTATATTCAAAATGTAGAGTGTATATAGTGCATATTATTGGTAAAATGATTAAATGATGTTCTTTTGAATTGAAAAATATTAAATGTAACTAATTGCATTATTTAAGAATGCTTTACTTTTTTTTGTCGTCTATCCTTCAATCTGTCTTTCATTATATGAGAGAGAAAAAACCAAAATATGTTTTGCACTAATCATCTTTTTGTGTTATCAACAAGTATTAGTTATCAAAAGGAAAAGTAGGATTTTTTTCCTCTATTTTCTTTATACAGAATTTCAATGAACTTCATTATTGTATATTTTGATACAGTCTATTGTATGATAAAAGAAATATACCTATATATTTTGCTAGTATAAACAAAATGTACAAAAAACATTTTATTTACAATTCCAATTAGAAATACTGCTTACAAGAAGAAGCGATGTCTTCTTTGATAAGTAAAACTTTTTATACGCTAATGTATACAAAATCTAATTTCATTTGTTGTCAGTCTACACTAATACATTGTTCATTCATGTAGATAACTAAGCTCATTTTATGTAGTTCTATGCAATTTCGTTACTTTTTTTTTCTCTTTTATAAAATTTGCTTCTCGTTATTCAAGTAATCATATAAAAAGAATAAGAAAATTCTCTATGTAAACAAAAAAAAAAACCAATCATTATAGATATAGATCTATTCCATTATATTAACACCATTATGGATAGAGAATTAGTGCATTCTATCTGTGTTAAATGACTTGCATGATATAGACGTCGGAAATAATTTTGTATTTAGATTTGCAAGAATTTTCTATACTATTGATAGATCGAACTAGAACATGATAATATTTTGTTTGTGGTTTATTTGTTTTAGACATGTGAAGACTTTATTCAGAAGCACAGGGTAAATAGTAGAAAGTTTTTCTCAGTCAAGATAGAAAGTACAAAAAAAAAAATTTATCTTGCTCATCTCTACTTTATTTTTCAGGACTCATATATGATCGTCATCGCTTTATTCGAATGATTTTAAAAAGTAAACAATATTTTCATTGTCTTACATTAACTATCTTCCTAATTCATTTTTAGTTAAAAAAAAAAGACTGACACACGTCAATTTAGAAACAGAATACATTAGGAGCATGAGATCTAGCAACAGAAATACTAAAAATATTGAACAGAGAAAGAAATTATCACGAGCACAGTTAAAAAATTTAATTTAGAACACATCATTTATGATAAATACATTTACGAAGTGGAAATTTTGAATATTAGCAGTAAACGAGTCCTTTATATATTCTGCACTTATTTGATCTTATTTTTCTGTGACGTCAAACTAAACTATTTTTAGAAATAAAACATGCATAATAACATTTACACAAGATGAACATCTCGTTGTGTTTCGTGCATTTTGACTAGTTTTATCATTGTAAGAAATGAATTCTTATTGTTCATCAATAAGCTTTTCTATTCTATTCGAGAAGAAAAAATAATTTTGTAAATATTACTATCAATGATACTTGTGTCAATATTCGAATAAGAGGCTCATTTAGAAAGTATTAATTTACATAAAGTTCTATTTAAAATTATGGATATAATACAATGATTATAATTTTCTATTAGAGAAAATAATTGTAATAGTTCATAAGATAGTGACAAGAAAATATTAATGTAATTTTTTAATAATCTTATTAAATTATTCATCTAATGACCAAAAATCTTTTCCAGATCGTTTCATTAAACCAAGAATTCGTTGATTCTGAAAAAAATTATTTTTTTTATTTCATGGACGGTTTGTTTGGATTGTTGTCAAGTTGTTTTATTGTAGTCATGTTGTACACGTAATCTTTCTTTTATGCATCAATAACTGGATATAAGTTTGGATTGAATGTATTAAGTCAGTGCTATTAGTCCTTCAATTCGGATTTATGTGTGAAAGTAGAGAGAAGCCCAATAGCTACATCTTTGTGGTCTTTCTAGTAATATTAACGCTTGTTTTAAAAATGTCAGTCAATGTCATTACTGTTTAGTTTATTTCTTTCTCTTCACGACAAGCTTTATTTAGTAAAATTTTGAAATTATTCAGAAAAAAAATAATATCGATCAATAATCATTAGTTTTAGAAATACAATGAATATACATTCATTTGTTTTTATTTCGTTTTTATCATTCTAATGTAAATATAGACTATATGTTTATTACTTTCATTCTTGATTAAAAAGTGTAAAATGTCAATAGTTATAAAAATGAATGAACTAAAATCTACAATACATATATATTTAATTCATATCGATAAAATTACGAATAAATAACAATGAATTTTTTTTTTGAATTAAAATAATATTCAATACTTCTTAATTAGAAGCCTTTATATGTACAAAATATAATAAAAAAAAATCTTCATATATGAAAACCCATAAATGTCTTAGTATAATTTCTAGTGTACGAATAGTGACATCTATGATGAATGAAAATAAATAAAAAGTCATCGAAATAATACTATTAGTTCTCGCAATTGAAAGTTTCGTATAAGAACCATTTTCTAAAATAAATAACTTAATAAATCATTCTAATTCATTAACATTATCAAACGTTTTTTACCAATCAAAAATTACTTTTAATCAGATGGCGTTGTTCTTTTTCATAAGACTTTTGTTTTGATTCAAAATTTTTTACTACAATATGTCATTTTAATTACTAGAAAAAAAACAACGTTTTTGAATAGAAAAAAATCGACTAATTGTTTAATTAAAATATAATTTCATATTTATTAATAAATAAAAGAAAAAATATAATTATCTTAAAATATTTTAGATGAAGTGAATATGTATTTTCCAATCGGTTCATTTCGAAGTTTTTCATTACCCATAGAAGAGTCCTATGAGATTATATTTATTCGAACTACACGTGATCGTCTTAAACTTGTTCTACTTACACCAACTGTTATAAGTATATGGCTTACAAAAGTAAATAATAAATAAAAGAATTAATAACATATTTCTCATAATTGCTTTTGTCTTTTGAAAAAAAAAAATTTAGCCATCTACATTAGTTGGTTTTGTTCGGCGTTCAGAAAATTCCATAGCAGTACATGGTGAAAATGTTTTTGCTGAATGGCGAAATGATACTCAAAAATTAGCTCTTTCTGTATGTTACAAAAAAATCAAATAAAAAAAAATTCAAATTTAACTTTTTTTGTTTCCTTTAGACAACTAAAGGTTATATAATTTATTATAAAGTTGTGATTGATAAACCGAAAGCATCATTTTTTGGTTCAACTAATGATGAAGATCCTTGGTAAAATTGATATATATATATATTTTTTTTCCTCTATTTGTTGTTTTTTTTCCTATAGTGAATATCTTATTCGACTTAATACTGAAGCACAATTTGTATTTCCTATGGTACGAATTAAACTTACACACGATAGTGCTTTACATGTTGATTCTAATATTCAAGGGTAAATATATTTCTATTAGATATTTATTCATTTAAAATAAATTTATAATTTAGTTTAACAAATCTTGGTCCTGATTTATTAGTAGCAGATGATAAAGGATATCTTTATCGTATATCATGGGATGGTATAATTCATCAACATTTAACATTATGTTTAAGTACACTTTCATATACAACTTCTTTGAATGCTGATCGAGGTTTGTTTGTATTTTAATGAATGATTAATTTGAATTTCATTTTGTTTTTAGTTTTTAAAATTCATAAATTAGATCGTTATGCAAAATATATTGAATTTTCATCGTTATTAAATGGTATAGGAATTGTATTTAATGATGGTACATCTGGTTTAATTATATGTGAAACATCAAAATTTGAACCACAAGTATATAGAATTGATTTAATTTAGTTTAAATTTAATTTAAAATTTTTGATTTTATTTAAAGCAATGTCAATGTATTGTTATTCAACCAACAAATGATGAAAAAATTTGGAAAACTCATTGTTGTGTTGCATTAAATGCAATTTATCAATTATTAGCATTTGGTTCGACGAAGTAAATATTAAATTTAGAGTTAATGTTTGTTGGTTTTTTTCTTTTTTTTTATTGATTTATATTTTTAGTGGACAAGGTCTTGTTTACTATATTGATGAATTAACAGCATCATTACAATTAGCTTTTAAAATACAATTATCAGTAGAAAATTTTCCAGGTATGTAAATTTTATATTATTGAAAGAAAGAATGAAGAAACTTATATATTGGATAAAATAAATTTTTTGTTGAATAGATTTAGTAGAAAATTTGGGTGCATTATATTCAATGAAATGGAGTCCTGATTATCGTGTTCTTTGTACTCTATGGGAAAATGGTGCATTTGCTATTTGGACAGTCTTTGGTATACTTCTTCATTGTTCTCATTCATCTGAACAATCATTGTAAGAATTTATAATTTGAAAAAAAACAATAAAAATAAAAATTACATGATTTATTTGCTTTTTATTAGAGATCCTATGCAATCCTATGGTCTTTGTCATGTTATTGTAAGTTAAAAATATAGATAAATTATGAATTGATTGATTCAATTAAGGAATGGGGTCCTGATGGATATACTCTATGGGTTGCATCTCATAAATCAAGTGTATCATTATCAACATCTACAGATGATGATGTTGAAGTACCAATACAAGATAGTAGTCAAATAATCTTATTAAATTTTTTAAAATCATCTGTGATTAATAATCCTCATTCGGTTTGAATAAAGTTTTATTCTTAAAAAAATTCTTCTTATTATTATTATTTGTTTTTTTAGGGTAGCATTGAACATTTATTATTACAGTCAGAAGATAAAGTTTATTTATATCTAAGTGGTAATCAACAATCAACAAATGGTAATAATAATGGATTATCAATATCTGTTGGTTGTGATGTTGGTTGGCAAGTTATTCAATTACCTCAACTTTATATTCATAATAATTGGCCAATAAAAGTAATTGAATTTTTATTTTATTTTATTTTATTTCTATTTTCAAATAATTTATTTTTTCAGTTTGCTTGTATTGATAATACAGGTCAATATTTAGCTGTTGCTGGTCAACATGGCTTTGTACATCTTTCATTATTTACACGTAAATGGAAATTATTTGGCAATGCTGGACAAGTAAAAAACAATGAACTTTTAAATATTTTAATTGTTTTAATTAGGAACGTGATATACGAGTTGTTGGTGGTTTATTATGGTGGAAAGAATTTATTTTATGTGGTTGTACATCAACAAGTGAAAATCGAGATGAAGTAAGAAGAATTATCATAATCATATTTTTTTATTAAATTAAATATATATATATATATTTAGCATAGATATGAAGTAAGAGAGAATATGGATGTATAATTACTAATGAGAAACAACCAGAAGAGATAGTATATTCTATTTTGCTAGCATGTATCTATAGGTTTTATTTTGAGTATTAAAAAAACTAACAATTTTGCATGTTTATTTTTATTATTTGAGATTTATCTTTTTTTGTAACTGAGAAAGATCGTTTAAAGTATAATAGTATAGAAGCTTCTAACATAACAAAATGCAATTGAATAATAGAAAAAAAAACACCTAGAAAGATATATAATTAATTAAATTTAGATTCGTCTTTATTCACGATTAACTAATTTGGATAATCAATTTTCAAATGTAACACGTTTACAATCACCAATTATTTGTTTAAATATTTATGATGATACATTAATTGTATTTGCGTAAGAGAAAAACTGTTTGTTATTTTTGTAATGTATGATTAAGAGGAGAGGTATTTTTGTTTTAGATATGATTTACATATTATGTTGTATGCCCTTGAACGAAAAGAAGGAAAGCCAGGTAAAAACAAAAAAAAAAAAGATAATGATTAATGTTTTTAGAATATCATTGACAATAGTAAATAACATTGAATGATAAATGATAATATGAATAACATGTGCCGTTTTGTAAAGAAAATTTGAAGGACAACTTTTTGAAATAGTTTGATATATATATATATATATATGAAAGTAAACAGAAAGTATTTGATGTAATAAAAATTTATTTTCTGATCCAATTTTGTTGAATAATAAATCTTAAAATTTATTCGATATTGTGGATGTTTATAACAATAGTAAACAAAAGTTTGTTTTGATTATGTAACGGGGAAGTCAACTGAAAATTTAAAACATTGGGTTAGAATTAGAATTTCATGTCAGTTCGAATACATGTTTTGAATTTGTGTGACAACCATATGTTAAGAATTATGAATGAATTTTTGAAGGGTGCAAAAATAAAGTCTGGACAGAAACAGTTGAGTTAACAAGATTTAAAAACAGCGGATTTGATTATACGTTATTTGAAATTGTTAGTGTACTGTTTTTTCTTGGCATTTTCATTATAAAGGCGCCCCATATCATATTCTCATTGTCGTTTGCTTGACTGGATTATGTTCTGAAATTTTTTAGGATTAACATTCAGACAACATACGTTATTTACAATAAGAATTTCTTTATCATTTTATTCAGAAACATTTGCTCTTTCTTTTAATGCGTTTGTGACAAATTTTTGCTTCTACTTTGGATAACTTTTGTGTCCATTGAAAGCTGTCCAAACTTTATTTTCGAAACTTTTAAAGATTCGCTCCTAATTTCAAACATATATTCGAAAAGAGTACAAAATTCTCATTATAACCTAATGCTTTAAATTTTCTGCTGACTTCCATAATCGATCGACAAATGAAAAAAAAAAACCATTTTATCCAGAAACTTTCGCAGCACTCGTTAGTAGTTAACAAACATCTATCTATTTGAATCGATTCAAATTAAACATGTTTGAATCTCAAGAGCCCTCGTAGGAAAAATATCTATTTTGTTTTTTTGGTCAGCTATTCTTAAGTCTTTGTTGGTGCATAGCTACCCAAATGTGAACATCTATTAGAGTTAGAAGGATTGTTATTCTTTAAATGTGAATACGATAGAAAAAAAAAGCCAACATTTTTATAATAGTTGTTATTTCAAAACTAATCCTCCGTGTATAATTAATTAAAAAACGAATATTTCATTTTTATTTAACTATCTTCATGTGATTTTAGTTCCTAATGCATTTATGGTAAAGTTACATGAAATATCAGTTGAAGCTTATGTTCCACATGCTGTCTTTGTACCATTTATTGGTTTAACTTCTCTTCGAACGGATTCGGGTATAGAAAATTTTTTGATGTAGTCAAATTCTTATTTTTTTTTTTCTTTTCGAATTAAAAAACAAATAAAGGTTTACCACAAGCAAATACATCTTCATCAAATGATAATACTCCTCAAAGTATTCTTATTAATGTTTGTGGTCGTCTTCTTCTATTACAACAAGAACGAGGTGGTTCATCATTAGTTTTACAAAAACCTTCGAAGAAAAATAGTTTACAATCAGTAACATTTTTACCACCAGTAATGATTGCTGCATGTGTTGAATGTATTTGGACAATATCTCAACAAAATTCAACAAATCCATATTTATCAAATGCATTATGGCTTTGTTGTGGATTACATGGAATGAAAGTATGGCTTCCATTATATCGTAAAGTTGATGAACCTATATTTCAATCTCATCGAATTATGCTTACATTTGGTTTAACAATTTATCCATTGGGTAAAATAAATAAATAAATATATATATATATGTCATTAGATTTATTTATATTTTGATATTTTAGCTGTTGTTGTGGAAGAAGCAGTTATACTTGGTGCTATGGCTGAATTCGAAAATTTTAATTCTAAAATATTTTGCTCAATTACAAAAACCGTATTTATTATTTTTAGTTTTTTAATAGTAAAATATAATTATTTATTTATCTATATAGACTCAAGTCTTTCTTAATCATGTCTTTCAAGAATTAATTCGAAAAAAGTATATTAAATTTTTATAATATTAATTATTAGAAAAAAAATTAATTCTTTATATTAAGTCTGGACTTTGATGCATTACAAATAGCTCAAACATGCAAGAGTATTCCACATTTTTCTCATGTTTTAGAATTACTTTTACATAAAGTACTTGAAGAAGAAGCAACAAGTACACAACCAATTCCAGGTAAATAAAATAGAATGACAGAGAATTTCTAGAATAGAAATTTGATAAAAGAATTTTTCGATAATCTATAACTAATACACAAGTTATAAACTAACCAAAATGAATAAGAATTCAAAAACAAAATTAAAGGAAAGCAAATAGAAGTGTGTAGATCAATAGCAGCTCAGCCGATTTGCTGATATCTTTATTTACTATTGTTTATGTTAATAAATTCCATTGAAAATAAATTGTATACAATACGAAACAAAAAACAGAATAGAACATTTCTTATTCATTGAATCAGATTTAATCTTATAAAAAGAACCAACTCTATTCATCAGAAAGAAAACATCATTGGTTTCTACATTAAAAGCCTAAAGCAAATTTTTTTTCTCTTTTATAAAGAACATCAAATATATTAGTTATAAACCACTAGTCGCAATAAAAGCCTCCGGAGCTTCTAAAGTGTACACGTATTCAAAAATTTGAAGAGGGCTTCTATCATTGGAGGAGCTACTAATACAACTTGTATAGGGGTGTCACCCAATAGAAGACTCGTCAATACCACATCATACATCATACAGTAAATAAACTCCAACAGAGCCGATTGAATCTTCGGAGTGGCACCGCCCGCTCATCCTCCCATCTTGAATAAAACATTGCATAGGGTTTAGTGGAAAACGTAAAGAAAAATGTCGAAGCGGAAAATATCGAAATTCTGGTTGTCGAATGAGAAAAATAGAAAAAAAGGAAAATGTCAAGAAGTAAAACTTCGAAAATGAAATTATTGTAATATTATTAGCTAGAAAAAATTTTTATGCCGATGATATGAAAAGAATGATATTAAAAAATGTGCAATTTATAAATGTTAATTCTTTTTTTTTTTGACTCTCGTAACAGCCATTAGAAGTTCAAAAAGTAAATTACATAATCTGTAGATGTCTTTTCTATTCTACAGAGGGACTGCTGGAACTTATTTTTTTGGGATTTATTTATTTACTGGGGATTTATTGGGACTTACTAGCTGCATCAGTATTTCAGCGTACCCTCATCCTTGCCCTTGCTTCCGTGCTCGTCTCACCTTCACTAAGTCTTCGCCCTCATCCTCACTAATCTATCACCTCAGGAATTATATGGGATTTATTTCAAAATGTGTGAGGATTTATTAAAAAATCTCAAAAAAAATAAATGTCGGTAGCCGCTGCATATATCATGATCTTACGAGCAGAAGAAATGTAAATTTGTTCATATGTGATGATGTTCGAACACCTATTCCTAGACAAAATAATGATTACAGAATACATAGTGATCATGATCTCAAACTTCGATGAAAAAACGAAAATGATTTCTAGAGATTATACTTAATTATGAATATTTGACATTTGGAGAAACATTTTCTATACATAAACGGTGTCTAATCAAAACTAATTTAATGGAATCTCTCGAGTTTCTAATACATCTTTTATATTGATCTCGCTAGAGGAAGCTTCTGTTTTTGTATTATTTTAATATGAATTTTCTACTTATGATATAAATAATATTAAAATAACAAAGATTTTATTCCTATTTCAATAAAATCCTATAAACGATCTCTTCATTTATAATAAAATTAACAATAAACTTTCTTAGATCCACTATTACCACGTGTAACTGATTTCATTAAATTATTTCCTCAATTTCTACGTATTGTTTCACATTGTGCACGAAAAACTGAAGTAGCATTATGGCCATGTTTATTTTCAAGATCAATTATTGGCGATCCGAAAAAACTCTTTCAAGTAAAATTATTCATTTTTTTTCCTTGTCTTTAATAAATCATTCTACTCTTTTCTTTTTTTATTTATTTAGCAATGTTTAACTAATAATAATTTAGAAACAGCTGCATCTTATTTAATCATTATTCAAAATCTTGAAAAAAGTGAAATAAGTCAAAAAGTATAAATTAAATTTTATTTTCTCTCTATAGAAAATTTTTTTCTTTTTTTTTTTTGTATTTTCATTTAGTTTGCACAAGTTTTGCTTGAACATGCTCTTGATCATGATAAATGGGAATTAGCTACTGATATTCTTCGTTTTATTCGTTCAATTGGTAATCTATAACAAAACTGAATTTCAAAAATAAAAAATTCAATTTTTTTTTAGATCCACAAGATTTAAATAATGATGAATATTTTCGTACAATAAATACTCGATTTCCACCATCAACAACAAGTAATCGTGTATCAAATAGTCTTACACAAAAATCTCCCTTATCACCAAATCGTGAGACATTAAAATTTTCTTATGTTACAAATATGCGACAACGAACACCAAGTGTAGCAAGTACAATGATAAATACCTCAACAATAACAACAATTCCAGAAGCACCACCATTACCAACATCATTAAATACAACTAAACCAAAAACATCATGGCCTTCAGGATCAACTGTAGTAAATAATAATTCATCAAATGTAACAACGCCAAATAGTCCATTAGAATCTTTAAATAATTCAACAACTGAAACACGACGAAGAAAAGCAAGTTCGTCAGATAATAAATCACCGAAAAAAGACAGTGATACTCAACAACAACAACAACAACACTTTCAATCGTTTGATTCATTCGATGGTTCATTACCACAATCACCAATAACTTCGTTATCAATTCATTTCATTCAACGCACATTAAATCAACATGCATTAAAAGCAATTAGTAAAGGTCGTTTAAGACATTTAGGTTATATGGCAGCTAATATAGCTGATTTTGATCTTCTTAATTGGTTGAAAAATCATAAGTATGAAAAATATTCTTTATTTATTATTTTAATTAAATTTTTGTTTTTTTTTCTTTTTGTAAGACATGAATCAGAATTAATTGTTTCAAATTATCCTGAAACACTTAAAGCACTTCATATGGAATTTAATTGGCCATTTCCTGTTTTACTTTCATCAACTGTTTATTTCAATCCAATTTATCGTTCGTTGATATTTTTAATTATTTGAAAATATATTTTTTGTTTTTAAGTAGATAATGATTCAGTTGCATCAAGTACAGATAATAATGGACATCATTCAGATTCAGGTCTTGGAACAAATGATCGAAATGGTGATCAAGGTATTCTATTAGAATTTTTAAAAAGATAAATATTTATAATAATTAATTAATATTATTTTAGATGAAAAATATTCCACACAAGTATCACGTGCAACATCAAAAGAAGAAATGAATGTAAATTTAACACCAAAAAAACATAAAGATTTTTGTGAGTAATCATAATCTTTGAAAAAGTTTTAACGTCGATAGAACAGTTTATTATGAAAACAGTCTAATCGTGTCGCATTTTCTATTCTGTAGTTCGATATATACATATTCATTTTCAAAAGTTTCTATGAAGAAATTAGAGAAAAGTGTCAACAGATCAATATACCGCGCTTTTCGAGATATCTTTCAAATTCATTCAATTTCTTTTTTCTTTTTATTTTGAATTTAACAAAACCCTAAACATTTCTTTGTTGTTTTTATTATAAAAAATTCGAACTTGCCTCTATTACAAATATACTTTTAATACTCTATCAGAAAACGATCTAAAGAAGAAAAAAAAACATATTGATAACCTTAGTTTTGATGAGCAAGTCATTTTTATTTTCTAGAATATTCTATGCCTATAATAACGAAAAAAAAAAAAACTTCATCATTTTATCATGTTCTCTTTTATTCTAGTGGAAACCTTAAGTTTAACATCTGAAACAAGTTCTATGCCAATTGATAATGAATTTGATGATTTACTCAATAATCATGATATTGAAAGTCTTAGTCAAGAATTAGCAAATCGTGGTCCACAATTATGTGAAAAACAAATACGGTAAAATAAAAATATTTAAAAATATCTTAAATAATATTTATTATGTATAATAGATATCTTTATGATATATTTTTAATGGCTGATTGTTATGATTGGTCATTTCTTTTGTCACTTATACTTAAAAGTCAAGCAATGATTACTCAAGTTATGAATGCTACTCGAATACAAGATTTATCGACACAAATATTTGCTTTACAACGTGGTCTTGTTGAATTAGAAACATGGGCAGAGAGTGAATGGTTTGTTGTTAGATTTTTCATATCTTTTTTTTTGTTTCTAAATTCTATATTTCTAGTCCTGAATATAAGCCGTTATTATTATTTGTACGTAATCAAGCACAAACATTAATTAATCAACGTCGAACAAATTTGCCTTCATCTTTTCAATCAGTTTCAACAAAAAAACTAGTACATTCAAATCAAGGTAAATATTTGTTTTTTTTTTCTTCTTTCTATCAAAAATTTTTAAATCATAATATATCTAGATAATGAATTTTTATCATTAAAACAAACACATACAAATAATAATCGATCTGAAACAACACGAAAAAAACTTTCCTCACGTAATCGTACAAATTCAGCTACAGATTCCAATCAACAAACATTTACATTTGATTCATTATCTAATAATACTCAACAGACAAATAATAAAAATAATCGTGATACATCACCATCTTTACATACACGTCGTTTTAGTGATGATATTGTTTTTCCTTCTTCACCATCATCAGACATTGTTGAACAATCACTTTTTTCACCTGGTTCAGTTCGTGCAAGAACTATTAGTTCAATTCAAGAAGATAAAAATTTACCAACAGTAATAAAAAAACAAAAGTCTCTTTCAACATCATCAACTGATCATCAACCTCCTCCATCACCACCAAAACGTCTTGATATTCGTCTAAGTAGTGGTAAAACAGTTGATACAAGTGATTTTATTCATACAGATCATGAACATTCATCATCTACTAACCATCTTATTAATCCACATATTGAAGTATCTCATAATCAACAACAACAAAATCAATTATCAAATGAAACAGCACGAGATAAACTTTTACAATCTGTTTATGTTAATAATACAAATACAAATATGCCTTCTCTATCAGAATCATTAACTAATGGTACAAATTATCATACTCCTGCTAGTGAATCATCCTCCAATTGTGTTCTTTCATAAAGAAAAAAGAACAATTTTTTTTTTGTTGTGAAGAAAAAAAAGCAAGACAATGAACACACGTGTACACATCTAATAAGAAATTGTCAGAGATGTGTTTTTTCTTTGTTGTGTGTTAATTTTAATGTGCAATATAACTTTTTTTTTTTTTTTCGTTTTATTTTTCGTTTGTCACGATCTGAGTGCACTTTTCTTTTTTTTTTTTAATTATCTACCTTATGCTTTATGACACACATTCACAAATGGGTTAGTTTACTGAACGAGTGAAAAATTTATATGTGAGTTTGTGTTTTTCTTGATTTATATTTAAAGAAAAAAGAAATTTCTGTACAAAATACAGTAAGAAAATCTTTTCATTTTCTTGCTTCTTTTCTATTCTTATTCAAAATATTTATTTAGTGGTATAAGTATTATCTCTATGCCATTCAATATTCATTGTTACATTTACTTTATTGTTATATTTTCTATTTTAATAAGTCTTTAAAAAATATAATTTAGAAGTTTTAGTTATGGTTATAATGAAATATTGTTATTAGTTTAAAATTGAATATTTGATAAGATAGATCTCAGTGAATAATTTTATTTTTACGCCAGAACTTGGTAAATATATAATCTTTGCCTAGAATCTAATACTTTAGTTTTTTTTTGTTTTCTACAAATCATTGTGAAGTGAATGGGATCTATTTCTTGCTCTTCTGAAGATCTAAATCGAGTAGATTATTGCTGTATTATTATGTAAACATTTGTTTTGATGTAATTCTATGTAAATTAGAGGATGGCAATGTTTCATGAATGTAATTATGCTTTTCTTTTACACATAAAAAAGACAAGGCCTTGAATAAAAATAAGTACGTAGCATTTTTGTTCTGAAATTAAAAACAAGAGATGAGATTAATTTATTCTCATCAAAGTCATAATTTTTGAAACAGCTGCTATAAAAAAATAAAATTTGTTTAGAATCATTTTAAAAATTACTTCATCCTGAACTTTATTTTTGTTTTGACATAGAAAAAAAACAGTCTTTAAGAGGAAAAAAAATCTTTTCTTTGACTCGTTGTTTACCTGGAGTCGCAAGCTTTGCTTCGATGTAAGAAAAAGATGTAAAAGGATGAGTTGTGTATGTGAAGACAACATTAACATGTAGAACTGAAGTTTCCAAAATACAATGTTTGGGAGGATACAGGAAAGCTGGGGAATATGTATATATGAGGCATGAACATGATTTTTAGTTTGTCATACAGTGAAGATCATCATGAGAATGCGAGTGTGCTGAATGATTGCTCTCCTTCCAGCATCGGCCGTCAGAGGGGAAGCTGCCATTTTTGGCTAGTGTCAGTTGTTTTTACTCTAAAAAGTGTGAAGATTCCGGAAAATGTTGATGAGCCTGGAAAGATTTGCTAAATTGTGCGGAAAGGGCATGTAAGAGGAAAGGAAGGAAAATTTAGTAGTATGTTGGTAGAGACATTTATGGATACGAAAGTTTTTTGTGTATGGTTTAAGCACTAGTTATTGAGCGATGGTAGGACAAAGTTATGGTTTCCTTCCGTTTGGAATTTTTGAAACGTTAAAATATGCATTCTTGTCGAAGACAACCGGGTTTGCAGAGAGAGATGATGCACGAACTAACGAAAGGTATTTCTGAAGGAATGCAACACATAGCAGTCATTTTCACTTCGTTAGAGGCATCAATGTGGTTAAACAGATGACGTTTCTGAATTGAACAGCTAAGTAGCGGAGGTAACGAAAACGACATATATCGTGCAGTTATTTAAAATTTACGGGTTTAAAGATACATAGCAACAATAAAGGTTGATGAAGATAAATATGTTGCTTTTGGATTGGCTATTAATATAACTGTTTTATGTCCAAGTAGAACAATCAACAATAAAAGTTGCATTCCGATTACGTATTGGCATTACTAATCCAAAGCATGGAGATTGAACAAAACTTTAGTTGAGTGTGTGCATGATAATGACATTCAATGTCGAGATAATGATAGTACGGTCTTTTAGACGCAAATGTTTGCAATTAGCAAATGATGTTCGAAAACAAAATTTATGATAATATTATGCACATTGATGGATCAGAATAGCAAACTTAGTGTAGATTTTTTTAAAAATTCAATTATTATTTTGTGTGAGTTTAATCACGTTACTAAACATACATAGTTGATTATTACCTTGTAGATGGTAGAAGACCATTTATTATGGATAAGCGATGCTGCCTTCAACATATTACTTCGTTTGTACAATTGAATAGGGATTTCATTTGAAGCGTCTAGATTAGAGACATATTGAATGAAAGTTTTTATTTTTGTGTTATAAAACAGTTGTTACTTCTTGTGGTATTTGAATTCCTTTATTTGGTCATTTGATTAGAACTTATCACAAAAGTATTTTTGTCACACTGTGCTAGTTCAGAGTATGTCCACAACGGGCATTTATTTCTGATTGGTAGAAGAAAACAATGGTCTCACAATAAACAACTAGTGAAGCTATCAATATAGCAAAGAATAAGCGTGTCTTAAACAAAAAATGGTGGTTCAGAGAAGTCTTTTACTCGTGATCACTTGATTTATGCTTCAGTTGATAAAGATAAGGCAGATCGGTCCGACTGCATTGGTAGCCATTGAAATGACCGTTTGTTAAAGTGTAACTACGCACTCTTGTATATTTCGAATTTAAAACACTTTAAATTGTTTTCTTTCGATGAGATGATATCGATAGAACTGAATGAATCTCATAATCAACATCGAAGTAGGCAGAACATAGGTTTTGCGATTCAACTATAATAGCTTTTTTTCTGGTATTTCTATCTCATTCCCGATTGCAAAGTTCTGCTTTCGTTATCTTATTTGTTATTTTGCGTGAAACAAGATTATGATAGCTATTTTGCTTGATGCAATCAATGACAAAACACATAAAAATTGGTAAACTTCAGACTGTGTAAAACTCAGAACGTTTACTATTTCATATCAACACTACGAACAACAATGATGTCATGTTCATGTGCATTAAACAAGATTTTTAAAATTCGTCGATAGTTGTTTTGAGTTTTCCCTCGTTTTGTTCTTTGTTGATGTTAGAGACGATGCGACTAGAAGCAAATGGGAGATGATACATCACACTCTTCATGACTGTCATGAAAAATTCAGACTGAAGCTTTCTTCTGTTTTTGAAAAGATTGAGCTTCAACTTTTTCGGATTGTGGTGAAGTTCCAGTGACAAATTTCTCAACATTGGGGACAAGTGGATTTCAATTTTCTCAGTGTTTTTAAACATTTGAGTAGAAACGTCTCAACAGATTACCAAAAAACAGCATAGTCGACAGTAAGGTTTTCCCGTTTTCTCATAACGAAAACGTGCACCTTTCTGACTATACATTTAATAATTCGTCTAATATCTTCTATCAAGTAGTTTGGAAGCATTATAATTAGCATTACAACTGAACGTCTATCGGTGAATGAACTAGATTATTAATTGGATCGACATCTTTCAAGTAAAGATATATATTTGTTTATTGAAAAATTCAAAAAAAAAAAATCTTATACAAAATACAATAATATAAGGTTGTTTTTTCATTCATTTGTAGGAATCATGGAGTTTTCATTCGTATTAGCAAACCAGTCATTTGAATTTGAGGTTTTTCGAGCTAGCAAACGGATTGATTTACTCATTCCAGCTGTTTCATCTTTGTTAACAAACATAATATCAAATTGTTCTTCACTAGCTATTTTCGCACGAATTGGAAAATGCATTATATCAGTTTCAGTTATGATTTCAATTGATTGATCTAATTGATAGAGACCTTGGGATTGTTGTTGTTGCTGTTGTTGTTGACTTTGATTTTGATTTTGTTTAATAATTGCATAAAGTTCAATCATAATAGGTCGACGAATACCCGCAGCAAGCTTTAAGAAAATAATTTTATTAAACAAACAAACAAATAGAAAGATAAATGTACATACAAGTCCTGGTTGAAAGACTACTCGTAAACCAGTACCTAATGGTGGCTGACGAATACGAAAACGACATGCATCAATACCAACATTTTTTATTTCGATTTCTGCTCCATATGTTACACCTATATTTAGTTTTTTACTTGAGCATATATATATATATTATTTTTCAAATTTTAATCAATATTTACCTTCCTTTAAAATACCAAAATCAATTCTATCAGGAAAAAGTTCACAACCACGTCTTTCTCTTAATGGTCGATTATTAAGAACAGCTGTACCAATCGAGGCATTATTTGGTCGAACCATTACAGGTTCTTCCATATCAAGAAACTTAATATTATTGAGACAAAAAACAAAAGTCAATCGTATCTTTCTACGTTATATAAGAAATACTTACACGTGAATGAGGTTGTGCATTGGGTCGAGTACCTTTCAATCCAGTTGGTATTTTAAGTGGATGTGCTCGTTTAGTACCAAATGTATTATATTGTATATAACCTTTTGGTGATATAAATTGTTTAACAGGACGATAAATACCTTCTTGATCATGTTCACCAGAACCGCCTATTGTTTTGTTATCTTCAACTTCTAGAACACGAAAATCTTCTTATCACCGTGTCCGGAAAGTTCGTAGAACTCATATTATATGAAGCAATAAGATAACAATTACTGCATTTATTGAATGTAATAACCTTCGCTAGCAACCACACGTTGCCATCGGTTATACAAACTTTGTATTCCATCGAAAAAAAACTCTGAACCAAGATTATTTAAGTGCTCCTCAACCGTCGTTATCACTTCGTCATCAGAGTAAAAGTTCTTGCCACGAAGAAATGCCTTCAAATTTTTGAACAAGTAATAGTCACTAGGTGCAATATCCGGAGAATAGGCGGGATGATTCACTTCACCAAAATTCGCCTTACGAATAGCAGCTTGGACGACGTTGCTCTTGTGCACGGACGCATTGTCATGAAGAACTAGCACTTCATGATTGTTATTTCGTTGTCTATTTTCGACCGCTCAACTAATTCTTTTTGATAGA